GGCTAGAGTTGTGGGCTAGAGGCCTGGATTCCTGAATGGAGTAGAGCCTGAGAACAGGAGAGGTGGGGCAGGGTTTGGCAGCAGGAGTTCTGGTTCCCTATACCTCTACCCAAGCAGCTGGGTGGGGAGTCAAGGGGCTCAGAGCCTCGCCCTAGAGATGTGGAGGGCCTTGCAGAGGGGGGCTGCCCTCTAATCTGCAAGTAGTGACCTCATCCCCCAAAAGACACCTCCCCGTTAGCTGAGGGATTCATCTCACTGCGTCTCCGGTCTCAGCAGCTTCCTTCCTGGCAAGCAGTGGGGGCAGGGACCTGTGAGGCTGAGGCCTGGGCAGCGAAGGCCACCTCCCTCTTCCCTGGGCACAGCTGGGGTTTCCCAGGACAAGTCCCCTGGCTCCGGATAATCTTCCTCACACAGGACCCAGGGCTGGAATCTCTATAGCGCAGACTCACTCAGGAGTAAAAATAAAAATAGCCCCTGAGGCAAGTGTGAGAGTGAGGTGGGGACCACACCTAAGGGGGTCGACCCAGGCATGGCTGAGGGAGAGCGAATGGCTACCGGAGAAGCCCCAGCATAAAGGAGAGGGAGAAACGGGCTGGAACACACAAAGGCTAGATGAACAAAAGCGGGGAAGTGGAGAGAAAGGAGGCAGGAAAGCGAAGGGTGGGGAGAATGTGTGAACCGGGAGTTACCGACGGAGGGGGAGGTCGCTAAAGGGAGGGAGGGGCACAAAGAAGAGATCCAAAGAGGGGAGAGAATGCAGTGCTAGTGGGGAAGGGAGCGGGGAGGAAACGGCAGCCTGCGGTTTCGATATGCAAATGCCTTGGGACCACCTCTGCTCATCCACACCCGCAGAGAGCACAGAGCTGGGGCGACTCTTCTTCTTCTGTTTTTGTAACCCCCAAACCTTAGACGCCCTAACTCAGCTCTCCTCCTTCTGCTCTCTCCCCATCTACCCTCGCGGTAGCCACAACTCAACTCTCATCTCCTCGCCACCACCCTTTCTCTCGATTCTCCAAGTCCTCAGGACACTCATTCTCGACCCCATCACCTCTCTGAGCCAGCTTCTGGAACTCTACTCCCCCTCTCCCGTCTCTTTCCACCCCACCAATTCTTCCCAGTTCACCTGGTCCCACTCCCAGGCCTCCGGACCACACCCTCTTCCTTGAAACCTCCCCCGCCCCGACACCCCCCCCATCCAAGTCTCCCCCACTATGCTCCTCACCCTCTGATCTTCTTGTAGGGCCCTAATCCGGATGTTTCCCTCTGTCCCACCCAAAGCCTGTAGGTCTCCTGCTGCCCCCTTCTCTCTCGGTCCTCCTATCAGCTGTCCCCCCACACCCACTCCCGTCAATCTTCTCAGCTCCTGGGAACCCTCCCTTTTCTCTACTTTCCTGTCCTTCAGGCTGCTGGAAACTTGCAGTTCTACAAACTTTTCAGGGTTGAGCCTAGATTTCTCATTACCCGCGCACACATCAATTGTCTTCCCCTCCCAAACCCCGGCCGCCACCACCCCAGGCCCCTGCCACACACGCCCTAAAGACTGCACGTGGGCTTGGGGGTGGGGATCAAAGAGGAAAGGGATTAGGGAGTTAAGGCTAGAGCTGGGGAAAAGTGCAAGTTGCCTTCCAGTAACTCGGAGGGGGGCCTAGGAGGGAGAAGGTGTTCTTACCTTCACGAACAATTCGACCTGCGGTTGTTCTTCGGCCATGGTTGCGACGGGGACCAGGAAGCGGCCTTCTCTGGGGGAACTGGGAGGGGGCGGGGCCAGGGAGAAGGCGGTCGCACAGAAAAGATTCTCTCCCCCAGACCTGGGACTACTCGCCCTGCAGCGCCGCAAGAGCCCGATCAGACCCGCACACTCCAGACGCGGCCTCTCGACCAGTCCAGCGTCCTCCACACCCAGCGGATCTAGCTCTACCCCCTCCTGGGCTGGATCTGGGAGCTGACTCACGGACCGCCCCGCCCTGAACCTGCGGAGGGGACAGGCGCGGGGGCGGAACTCGATGACCTAGGGAGTGGGCCCGGAGGGGTGAGCCTCAGGTCTCCCAGATGATGGGGAAGGGGCTGTTGAGGAGAGGGAATCCTGGGAAACTTCTTGTGTCCCTGCCAGTCTCCTTGAACAAGGGACTTTTTTCTGCCTCAGTTTCCCTGCTTCATTAATCAGGTTACACTCCCACTCAACCCTCACACAAGAAATCTGACACCGACTGCTTGAGCACGTCCCTGAGGGCCCAGAAAGGGAATTATAGAAGGGAAAGGTGGTCCTTTATTACTTTCTCCAAGTTCCCTCGGAACTCCACTCCAAATTCTGGGTTGCTAGGACTGTGGCCCAGGAGAGGGACTTGCAAGTGGAAGGCTGGGTTGGAGGAAGAGAGCGGTGAGAGGTAGGGCAGGGGTGGGGAAAGGAGATAACCAGGCCTTGTGCTGGGGAAACCGGAAGCTGAGCCAAGGGGCTTCATCACTGGCAGAGGTACTCTCCCGCTCCGTAGCCTGGTCAGATTTAATGCTTCTACTTCTGCCCCCCCCCAACCCCGGTCTGGGGCCCTTTCCTGTGCCCCTTGCCCTTTTATCACTGACGGGTTGCCTTGGAGTTAGGGTGGAAGCATGGGGTTATTATGGCCCCAGAGTAGAGCTGCACCGATGCTAGGGGCTGGTGGTAGTTGGTCCTATCATGGGGGAAAAAAGTGAAGATCAGACAGAATAGTGTGAGTGGAGTCCTCAGAAGGACTAAGGACTCCGCAACAAGAGAAGCCACCGCAATGAGAAGCCCGCGCACACAAATGAAGACCCAATGCAGCGAAAAATAAATAAATAAATACAGAAAGAAAGAAAGAAAGAAAGAAAGAAAGAAGTAGGGAGGACAGAGGAAGAAGAGCTCTCTCCCTCCCTCCCCAATAACCTTGATTTTGGAGGTTCTATCAAACCCTTTATGATCTGCTGAAAAATAGCCCAAAAATATGTCCTCCAAACTGGACATATGCCAGCCTCCACATTTGAATCTCTCTCCTATCCAGCCATCCCTTTCTTCCTCACCACCCTCTGTCTAACAGGACACCTACAGTTTCAGAAAATCATGGTGGAATGCAAGGACATAGGAGCAAAACAGGGCTTGAAACTTAAAGAAAGGGAGAGAGTTGGGGGAGGAGGGGGTGGAGTGAAGAGAGGTGCTGGAACCAGCAGTTAGCGGTTTCCTCTCATGCTTCCTCTTCTGTGGGTTTTCTCCTCCATGGAGGAAGGCCTTTCTCTGTCCTCCTCAGATAGGGGATATATTTGGTGTTTGCTCCCTTGAATTGTAACATCCGATAAGGACGTAGAATGATTCAACGAGTATGGGAATCTCCTCCAGGGTGACCCTCAAAATCTGCACACATGACCCCTTCCATCTGAGGAAGGGAGGTCAAAGCAGCGCTACTTCTCAAGGTCCTTTTCTGCTCCAGCTGGTCCATGTCCACCAGAGAATCTGCCCCACAAAAATCTCCCTTCTGGGAGAAGCCTCAGGCAAATGGGGCCAGCCCTGAGCTCAGACAGGTTTGACAGCTTCTCTCCTGCCTCTCTTTCCCTACAGCTTTTATAGCTAGAGCTGCCTTGATCAATATTGACTTTGGCTAGCTGGCATGGCTACCCACAAGGTATTTTTCCTTAACTTCTCAGGTAACAACAGGTAATGCTGCCCTCTCCTTGTATCAGTGCCGCATGGGTTTGAAGCCAGGGGCTATACCCCCAAATCCTGCATCAGAGAAGTTTCCCTCCCATCTCAATCTCCTTGCCCCTGCTTTTCTCCTATCTCAGTATCTCCCCTTTTCTTCCCCAGCCTTTCTTTCCACTCCCTTCCCTTCCTCAGGTTGGTAAACCAGTCCCTAATCTCTTCCCACCCCAGATTGGAACGTGTGTCCCTCCCCAACACTCCTTAGAGCTGTCACCTGGCCTCCTCCAGGTTTCCATAGCCCCATTGCTAAACAATTTGCCAGGGGTAACCATTAACCTAGCCCTTAACTCACTCCCCCACCTTTCTCACTAGAAGGGATTTTCCAATCATTTGTTAGCAGAGCCAGGTTACCATCTTTCTTAAGCTCTTGGGTGGGATCTCCGCATCTCAGAGTACCCAGAACAAAGCTGGGGGTGAAGATGTATTTTAAGAGGTGTTTTTAAAAGTATATGATTGTTTATTTCTTTCTCCTTCACTATCTCCTTGCTTCTCCTCCCCTCAGACACACACACTCAAAAATTAGGCTCATGGAGTAGGGATTTAATTATGTTCCCTGTTTTGAGTCCACCACCTGGCCCAGAATGAATGAATGACACCCTTCTGTCCTTAGGGGTGTGTGTGTGTGTGTGTGTGTGTGTGTGTGTGTGTGTGTGTCGAATGCTTCCAACTTCTCTTGGGGCGCTGAAATTATTAATTAGGCCCTGTGGTGTCCCTATGGGAGTGATCATACTCTGCACCCAGGAAACAGGCAAAGGTGGGCTGAGATAGGAGTCTCGCTTCTTATTTCCGCTTATTTATTTAAAACACGTAGTTCTTACTATGTTTGCCAGGCACTGTTCTAAGCTCATTATAAATATTAAGTTAGAATTGTTGGCATAGGTTGAATTAATGCTGCTTATCTCCACTCTCCAGAAAAAACAAAAACAAAAACAAAAACCCCCCAAAAACGTGTCTCTGTTCCTTTAAGGTCGGCCTCCTCTCCAGATTACCCAACGCCCCTAGACCCGTTCCGGGGGCTCTGACTCCAGCTCTGCTAAGGACCTTCTCACAGGCTCCACCCCGTGTCAATCAAGGGCCAGAGGCCCGGTTGCTAGGCCACAGCAGAGGGCGGGAAGTTTGAACGTTCTGGCACCGCCCCATATGCGAATAGGCCAGTCATCGTCCAGCCTTCTCTGCGGTCCCCTCCTCCCTCTCGCTCTGTTGGATCTCTAGGCAGGATCCGGGTCTCTTCGACCAATAGCGGCTAAGAAGGCGGGGCGTGTGCGCGCGCACCCCGCCCCCGCGTCGCCGCACCCTCCCGCAGGCCCGCGGCGTTTAATGACGCGGTCTCGCGCACGTCGCGACCCAGGTGACTGAAAAGGCGGGAAAACGCCGCGAACTGTCCGCAACTGGGTGGGGAAGTCAAGAGCGTGAGGCTGTGATCTTGGGGGCTTGGTTGGCAGGGGCGGAGAGAGGAGGCGTGCAAAACTTGTCCCACAGGACCCTCAGTCTCCAAATACAACCTCCGCGTGACAGGAATAAGGGTGGGGCGAGTGGTGTTTTCCACAGTCTGTACTTTAGTTAAATACCCGAGAAGTCGCCCCTCCAGATGCCCTGCACCTGTGACCACAGCTCTCGAAGGCCCTAGCAGCCCTGCCCCTCAGCCCTCTCCCATTAGTTCTCAGTAGAGTTGCATTTCTGTGCGCCCCGCTACCCCCGCCTCCTCGCGGGTGAGATCTCGCTCCTGAACCGCCTTCATTTTCTTCATCCACAGAGCCTCCAAGGCCATGGCCTCCGTAGGAGCGACCCCAGGCAGGACGCCGCAGGGACCGGGACCCAGGGAGGCCTCGGCCAGCTTCCCCAGCCCGGCCCCAGTGCCGGACCCCCGGGAGGCCGAGGAGGAGGAAGAGGAGGAGCCCGCGGAGGTCTGGGGGCGGGGTGGAGAGGCGATGTCTGAGGAGCCAGAGCTCGAATCTGGAGAGCAGGGAGTTGATTGGAACGCCTGATTGTTAGCCTATAAAGGGGCTGGGAACAAGAGCTGGGCCAGTCACTTCCCTCCGCTGAATGTCGGTTTCACATTAACTGAATGGGGGTGATGATGCCTATCTCAGAGAGTTGATAAAGTAATTAAAATTAAATAAGGCATGCCTCGACCCTGCACTTAACGAGTGATTGGTTCAAATATTCGTTTCCTTTCTTCCTTGCCGGACAGATTCATCTGTGTGTGCTGTGGAACTCAGGATACCTGGGCATTGCCTACTATGACACTAGTGACTCCACCATCTACTTTATGCCAGATGCCCCAGACCACGAGAGCCTCAAGCTGCTCCAGAGAGGTGAGGGCAGAACTAGGAATTCCTCTACTCTGGGATTAGAAGCGTATTTCACTCGTAGATCCTTACCTGACTCAATCTATTTTTATTAGTTGACTCCTAGAGGCCCCCTTTGTTGTTTTTAGGAATTCATCTCATTATTCACAAATGTACCAGGAGCTGGAGATACAGTCCTGGGCAAATCAGTCCTGTCTGTCCTTTAAGGGTCTACAGTCTAGTGATAATCTCCTGGGCACCCCTCTTCCCTCCCACCACCCCATCAGTCTTACTACTCCTTCCTTTTCTAATCTCATGTCTGACTTCGACTTATGCTTCCAATGTGGGGGGCACTCCGTACTCTTAGAGGGAGGAAATAAGTTTCTGAGGGGTGAAGGGAGATAGCAAGGGGAGGGCTACGGGTTCCCTCTTAGTCAAAAGATAAAGATCCTTGAACTCATTTGGTCTCCATTCTCATTCCAAGTTCTGGATGAAATCGATCCCCAGTCTGTTGTCACGAGCGCCAAACAGGATGAGAATATGACTCGGTTTCTGGGGAAACTTGGTAAGGACTGGGTAAAGGAGAGAGGGAAAATGGGGAAGGACTAAATTATGGAATGTTCCAGGAGACTAAAGGGTCTTGGGCGGAGCTACAGCCAGGAGACCAGAATTGGGTGAGAGGGAAGGTGGGACAGCGGCAGAAGGACTGAGATGTACAGACTGACGGCCCTTTCTTTGCCTCCCTCACAGCCTCCCAAGAGCACAGAGAGCCTAAGAGACCTGAAATCATACTTTTGCCAAGTGCGGATTTTGGTATCTCCTCCCTTTTGCTTTGCCCAATCCCCCATCCCAGTTTTCTGACCCTTTCTCCTAACTCCACCTTCATCATCAGAGGTCTCCCCTCAGCCCTATCTCATTCTAAACCTTTGTGTTCTTCAAGCCCCATGACCAGTCTCCCCACGATCTCTCCTAATCCCTAGCCTTTAATAACCTGCAGCTTAGGCTTGTCTAGGGATGAGTGCCTTCTGTGAGAAGAGGGAGTAGTAACACTTTTTGGTCAGCTTTGATTGTTGGCATTTTCCCCTTTAAGCCAAAGCCATTTACCCCTTAAAAAAAAAAAAAAAAAAGGCACTGCCTCAGTGACCTCATTCATCTAGAAGACACTTCCATAACCTTCCCGGGTTTTGCAAAAAGGACAGGGAATGTTCTATCCTAAATTAGATGTTAGGGCATTCATGTTATTAGTTCCTCTGTTAATATGATTTTTTTTGACCCCAAGTCCCCAATTCCAGACAGATATCTTACTCTCCTGAGCCATTTATCTTTCTCAGTTTATGTTCCCAGCCAACCCTTTTTAAAGTGTATGTAGAATAAAGAGTGAAAATTTGGCTCTTGTCTCAGCTTTCCATTAACTGCCTGTGTGAATTTGGCAAGCCACATCATCTCTCTTGCTTCTGTTTTCTCATTCTTAAAATAAGGTGAAGAATCGGGCTATAAGATCTTTCCCTCCCTTCTTCCCTCAAAATAGGCCTGGAGATAAGCAAACAGCGCCTCCTTTCTGGAAACTACTCCTTCATCCCAGACTCCATGACCGCCACTGAGAAAATCCTCTTCCTCTCCTCCATCATCCCGTTTGACTGCCTACTCACGGTGAGATGGGTCCCGCAAGGTAAGGGCTGGGTTGCAGCAGGTTAGAGAAAGGCACAAGCACCTGGAGACTAGGTTTGAGTCCTGGGAGATACTAGCCCAGCCCTGGAAAATAATAGTTTTCCCTGGTGTCGTCCAGCCTCCAAGACGTTGGGATTTACCCCACCTCCATTACTGATCCCCTCCTAGGTTCGAGCACTTGGAGGGCTGCTGAAGTTCATGGGTCGAAGAAGAATCGGGGTTGAACTGGAAGACTATAACGTCAGCATCCCCATCCTAGGCTTTAAGAAATTTGCGTTGTAGGTCATTTACCCTAACCTCAACCAAAGTAAGGTGGGATTGGGAGGCCTGGAAAGTAAGACGGGATGGGGGGCGTTGGCAGTGACCCATCTGGTAAAGTGCTCTAGGACACACAGGAACTCCTGAGAGGGTGTGGAGCTCTGGGGAGAAAACTGAGACAGTACTCTTGAAGGAGAGCTAAGCGGGTATAACTTAAGAATGAACTCACACCTCATATACCCCAGCTACCTTCCTTTCTGCTTGTTTTCTGTCCTCAGGACCCATCTGGTGAGCATAGATCAAGACACTTACAGGTAAGGAGATGGAGGCAGGCTGTCATCTTTGGGGAGGGAGAAGGATTAAGCTTAATGCTCTAATAATCCTTAACGGGGCTCCAATTTCTTTAATCCTGGGGCTATTAAGAGCTCTCTCCCTGAAGGAAAGAGAAGAGGGGTGAGGGCAGAGAAGAAGAAAAGCACAAAGGTGTCACCCTCCTTTTCTAAAGGGAGAAACTGAGGCAGAGGGCAGTGAGGGACAAACCTTGCATCAAGACTTCATCTCAGGAGGTGTTCCCAATCCCCATTCCGTTTTCTCAATTGCCTTTTAAAATACAAATTACCCTAATTTCTCCCTGATAGTGTTCTGCAGATATTTAAGAGTGAGCCTCACCCCTCAGTGTACAAAGTGGCCAGTGGACTCAAGGAGGGGCTCAGCCTCTTTGGTAGGTTTGCCCCCTCCCTCATCCCACACTACACAGGCCTGCCAGAAAAACAGCTGCCTCCAAAGATGTATCCCAGTCCCTCTCTTTCCACTTCACCCCATTGCCAGCTGTCTCTTCTGCTCCAATCCAGCTTCTTTTTTTTTTTTTCTTAATTTTTTTAATTTTTGGCTGCCTTGGGTCTTCGTTGCTGCACTCAGGCTTTCTCTAGTTGCAGCAAACGGGGGCTGCTCTTCACTGCAGTGCGCGGGCTTCTCATTGCGGTGGCTTCTCCTGTTGCGGAGCACGGGCTCTAGGCGCGGGGGCTTCAGTATTTGCCGCGCGTGAGCTCAGTAGTTGTGGCTCGCGGGTTCTATAGCGCAGGCTCAGTAGTTTTGGTGCACGGGCTTAGTTGCTCTGCGGCATGTGGGATCTTTCCAGATCAGAGCTCGAACCCGTGTCCCCTGCATTGGCAGGTGGATTCTTAACCACTGCGCTACCAAGGAAGTCCCAATCCAGCTTTATTATCCTCTTTGTACCCTCCCTCAGTTTGGGCATCTTCCTGAAACCTTGTCCAGTATAGTTGTCCAGTGTCTTTTGCATATCATTTCTTACTCTACCAATTCCATGTTTATTCCTTGGGTTTGTATGAATATTTCTACTAGTGGTGTACCTGTCTAGGGACTTTGGGAGGCCCTGTGTATAGAGGAGAGTTATGTAACTGCATAACTCCCATGTTTGCTTTGCATAGAGTCTTTATCTCTTATAGTTGTTTCAGGCTTTAAGGTGTATTGGGGACATCACCCCAAGTAACCACATGGTTTCACCGTGCATCTCAGTGGGTTGTGTCTAATGTTTACGTGTATGTGTTGGGCTTTTTGTGAGTCTAATTATGCCTGCTCTGCATATTTTTCTGGCTGAGTGTTCCTGTGAGTGCCCATTCCTCCCCCAAGCCCATGTAAGGTAATCCCGGCTCAGACTTGTGGCCACACGCTGGCTTTGGCTGCCTTTGTGTCCTGTATCTGGGGAACGCTCCCCAGGCCAGCCAGCTGAACACCCAAACCTCTGACCCTGATGCCTCAGCTTAGACACATCCATACATTCCTTTCCCTGACCCTGCTTATAACAGGCTCACTCCCTACCCCAACTCCCAACAGGAATCCTCAACAGATGCCGCTGTAAGTGGGGAGAGAAACTGCTCAGGTGAGTAAGAGTCACACACGTGCTACAGGTTAATGCAGGCAATCTGTAGACTCAAACACACCACCCTTAGTAGTAATGAAAACAACTGCCCTTTCCTGAATGCTGGCTAAATGCGTTTAATCCTTACAACGACCCCACGTGGTAGCTAGTGTTATTCTCATTTTGTGTTGTCAGCACAGGTGCACATGTACCCACTGATGATACACGGACTTTCACACATACACACAGCAGAAGCAGAATCACAAGACAGCAATGTACACATGGTAATATCTTTTTTTTTTTTTGCGGTACGCGGGCCCCTCACTGCCGCGGCCTCTCCCGCCGCGGAGCACAGTCTCCAGATGCGCAGGCCCAGTGGCCACGGCCCACGGGCCCAGCCGCTCCGCGGCACGTGGGATCCTTCCGGACCGGGGCACGAACCCGTGTCCCCTGCATGGCAGGCGGACTCCCAACCACTGCGTCACCAGGGAAGCCCCGGTAATATCTTTAATTATTAAAAAACACACTTCAAATTTGAGCTGTTCTCTGATGACTCTCAAATTTGTATCTCTAGTTCCGAGCTCCATATGTGGAATGCTCTTTGCACATCATCGCCACCTGCAGTTTCCACAGGCAGCTCAAACTCAGAGCATCCACACTGACACCCACTGGCCCTGTTCCTCTTCCTGCATTCCCTTTTCTGGTTAATGGCATTGCTGGCAATATAGCTTCTCAAGCTCTGAACCTTGGATTGATGCTTCTCCCTCACCCCCCATATTCAATTATTCACTGAGACTTATTGATTCTATCCAGAAATGTCTCTCTCAGCCATCCCCTTCTCCCTCTTTCCTCTGCTCTAATTCTGTCTATCTTCATTTCTAACTTGGAGCATTGCATTCACCTTCAAATTGGTCTCTCTGCCTCTAAACGCTTCTTTTTCCAATCTGTTCTTCATTCCAAAATAGAGGTCTGAGCATGTCACTCCCCCACCCCCCTTTTTTTAAGCTTAAGTAGAAACAAAACATAAACCTCAGGAGGTTTCTGCATTACCTGCATAATTAAGGGCCGCATCTTTAGCAGTATGGCATTCAGGGCCCCTCAATTTTAATTTCCAGGCTTACCTCCTCATACCCATGTTTTGTTTTGTTTTGTTTTGTTTTTTCGGCCGTGCGGCTTATGGGATCTTAGTTCCCCACCGAGGGATTAAACCCAGGCCCTCAGCAGTGAAGGTGCGGAGTACTAATCACTGGACTGCCAGGGAATTCCCCCTCAAGCCATGTTAATGCTGTTCCCTCTGGAAAGTCTTTCCCCTGCTCTCCACCTGTCAAAATCTTACATCCTCTTGCAACCCAGCTATCACCTTTCTGGTGAAGCTTTCACAGGCACCTCTGAGGAGACTGACATGCACTTTGCTGTGTGGTCACATAGTGCTTGTTTATATTTTCTAGTTGCACTATCACAGCAGGTTGGAATTAGTTGGTGAATCTACTTGCCCTCATAGCTGTGAGTGAACTCTATGCAGTGGCCCATTCCTGTTAGCGCAGCACATGGCCTTGTATGCAGTAGAATGCAAGCACACTGGTTACATCGTCTCTAAAAACTCAGGAAACCTTTGCTAGCCTGCAGGTGTACAATCTTTTCCCCCTGCCACCTGCCCTGCAATGTATGTCTTTTGGAGGTTAATTTAGCATTATCTCTGAGGCCATCTCCAGGTAATTGGCGGGGTGATTTAATTACCTCGAAGTTCTCTAGTGCTTCAGGCGCAGATCTCTAGTCTCAACCAGGGATGAAAGGGAAGGAATTCTCAAAGGAGAAGAGAACTGAGTTAAAGGTGAGGGAGGGGTGCAGATTCCTTAGATAGGATCCTGCAGGGCATAGAATCACAATCTGACGGTCAGCCAAGGGCCCAGCTGGCCTGAAGCCAGACAGGGCACCTAGAAGGTGACTAAATGTCACAGTATGCTCTAAAGAGCACTGTCCTAGCAGTCTGGAGAGCTGAGTTTGAGATCCAGTTGTACTTCTTACTAGCTGCATGACTTTGGACAATTTGCTTACCTTCTAAGGGCCTCATCCCCTCAGCTGACTTGAGTCTGGCTCGACTAAGACTTCCAGGCACTCGAAGTACATGAGTCAGAGCTACCCAGGTGTTTTATAAGACAGTCTGATGAGGCTCGTGCTCTCCAGGTGGGGAGGGTATTCACAGACTAGCCCACACTGCCTCAGACACCTCTGCTCCCTTGTGGCCAAGGAGCAGGGGTGCCTAAAACCCACCCTCGAATCCACATGAGTCTTCCACTTCATTCTAAGCTGGGGTGTTCTAACCCGGGGTAACTGGCCGTAGACTACAGTGTGAGATACACATCCTTAGGCCCCAGTGTCTCCACAGGTTGGCTCTTATACAAAATGATATGCCTAATGGCTTGCTCTAATGTGGGAAAGAATCCATGGGCTCCCAGGTCCTTGTAGAATCTCACACTCTTCATAGCCATAGGGAGATAGGGATACCCAGAATTAGACAAACACAGATGAGACATTTATTTCTGTATAATAATTTAATTTATTAGGAAATAACCTCAGACACAGAAAAGGTAATAATAATAATAATATAAACCTCTGTGTTTCCACTGGCCAATTTAAAAATAAGACAATGTTATTGAAGCCCTTTAAGTATCTCTACCCAATACTTTCTTCTCTGCAGGGATGAACATTATCACGAATTGAGGACTTATTCTACATGGAACAGTTATATACTTTCACAGGAAGAACATGAAAAGACATGAATGTCTGTGCTATTTCACAGCTAAATACGGATATACAAACTCTTTCTGACTCACTCCTGCTCAGCTGCAGAGAGAGCTAGAGTGTTGGCATTCAAATGCCTCAACACACTGCTCTCCCTCTAAAATATTGACAAACTCCATCACGTATCCACATGGAATGACACATGGTCATATCCATCAAAACCGAGATACACACAGTTGTGCTCACATCCAGAGATTTTCAGTAGATGCAAGTAAACACACCTGCATAGATAGGACACTGTATTACCAGTGCAGATACATACTGCCGCAATCCCCAGGGACCTCCAGATGCACATTTTTCACAAATTGAGATCAAGACAGTGATGACAACAGAGGTAATTTCTGGTCTCCTCACTCCAACCCTCACTTCCAGGCTATGGTTCACACGTCCAACCCAGGACCTGGAGGAACTAAATTCCCGTCTGGATGTCATTCAGTTTTTCCTGTTACCCCAGAATCTGGACATGGCTCAGATGCTGCATCGATTGCTGGGTCACATCAAGAACGTGCCTGTGAGCTCGGGGTTGGGGGCAGGGAGGTGGGGAAGGAGGTGAGGGATGCTGGGCATCTTGAGGGGCATTAGGGTGGGAGAAGGAAAACAGCGGCTGTCTCCTTGTTTGACTCTAGCTGATTCTTAAACGCATGAAGTTGTCCCACACCAAGGTCAGTGACTGGCAGGTTCTCTACAAGGTAAGACCTCCCTTCTTGAATCTAGAAGTCCAGGTTAAGACCCCCAGCATGTGTTCCAAATCCTCTTTACTCTCGTCACCCAGTCCAACTTTATCCCGACACCTTTAAAAAAACTTTGCACTGTGGAAATTGTCAAAAAAAATTTAGAGAGAATAATACAAAGAACTCCCATGTACCCACCATGTAGCTTTAACACTTTGACTTATACAAATGTTGTTTCATGTATATCTTCTCTCACTTTCCTTTTCCTGTATTATTTTGAAGCAATTCCCAGCCATCATATCATTTCACCCATAAATATTTCAATATGCTTTCTAAAAGAAAATTATTTTTAAAAAAGAATAACAATGCCATTATCTTATCTAAAAATTAATGTAATTCTTTAATATTAATTATCTCATGTTTAAATTTCTATTCATCTCTTAAATATAATGATTTTTAAAAATTTACAATTAGTTTAATTAGGATCAAAATATGTTCATATAGCGATGGGATGATGTCTTTTTGAATCTCCTTTATGGGTTCCTTCTCCATTTCACCATTCTCCTTCCCACCCTCTCTCTCTCATTCTCTCTCTCTTTCTCTCTCTCTCTCTCTCTCTCTCTCTCTCTGTCCTCCTCTCTTCCCCTCTCCCCGCCTCTCCATATATATATCTTTTCCCCCTTGCAACATATTTGTTGCAGAAGCTGGATTATTTGTCCTACAGAGTTTTCCTTAGCCTGAATTTCACTGATTACATTCCCTGTTTTGTTTTTTGTTTTTTTTTTGCGGTACGCGGTCGCCTCGCTGTTGTGGCCTCTCCCGTTGCGGAGCACAGGCTCATGGACGCAGGCTCAGCGGCCATGGCTCACGGGCCCAGCCGCTCCGCGGCATGTGGGATCTTCCCGGACCGAGCACGAACCTGTGTCCCCCGCATTGGCAGGCGGACTCTCAACTACTGCGCCACCAGGGAAGCCCACATTCCCTGTTTTTGACATGTTTCTCTCTCTTCTAGAATTTCTGTAAATTAATAGTTGAATCTAGAAGCTTGCTCAGGTTCAAGTTTAATTTTTTTCAATAGTGTTTCATAAATGGAGGAACATAATGTCAGTATGTCTGACTCTCCTTTTGTGATGATAGCAGTATTTGATGTTTAATGTTTAAGTCCATTAGTTCTTTAGAGATTGCAAAGTAGTGTTATTCTAATTCTGTCATTCTTTCTTCATTTATTAGAATGTTTCTGGAAGGAAGACTTCCTCTCATCTACTCTTTGGTTACCTAGTGATATCACAGAACATTGCTTGATTTTTTCCCCCTGATTTTATCTGTCCACCTATCAGCAAATACGAAATTAGTTCCATAATCCACCAAGGCAACCAATGAGTTTTTTTGGTTGCTGTTGTTGTTTTAGTATCATTACAAACTTACAGATTTCTTCATGCTTCAGGCCACTGCATTTTTAATCTTTACACATGTTCGAGATATTCCATCTTTAGCCAATGGGAGCCTCTTCATGTTGGCTTCTGAGTCCTTTAACATGACACTAGTAGACTTGGATAGCTTCCCCACTCTCTGGTTTGACAAGATGTACCAGATATACCACTTACACGTACTGGTTCTGACCTGGAACCAGACATTTCTCTGAGGAGCCCTGGTTCCTTTTAGTGAGAAATGGTATTTCTGTATACCACAGTGAGTGCTAGAGGGTACTCAGCATGTTTGGATTATTGCTTGTAGGCCTTTTCTGTGGACAGACCTAGGAACTTGAAAAAAAATAAAATGCATGATAAATTAGTACTGACATCACCTATTTATTTTATTTTAGTTTTTTAGATATCCAGAGATCACTATATCTATATTCTTTTTTTTAATTAATGTTTTTTGAGTATAGTCGATTTACAGTGTTGTGTTAGTTTCTGCTGTATAGCAAAGTGAATCAGTTATACATAAATATATATCCACTCTTTTTTAGATTCTTTTCCCATTTAGGTCATTACAGAGTATTGAGTAGAGTTCCCTGTGCTATACAGTAGGTCCTTATTAGTTATCTATTTTATATAGAGTAGTGTGTATATGTCAATCCCAATCTCCCAATTTATCCCTCCCCCACCGTTTCCCCCTTGGTAACCATTAGTTTGTTTTCTACATCTGTGACATCACGTATTTAAATTCAGCACCACAGGGTTCTTACCTTGTATATTCCATTTTTATCCTCTTCAATATTCTTCCATACTGGAGATTCTGTGTCTCAATAACACTAGGAATGAGAAAATCAAAGTATCACTTATTTGCTTTTTCCTACATTACATCCACAACAATCTTAGAATAGCAATATCACCATTACTACCAAAACTATATGATTATTGAACACTATTTAACATTTTTTTGGGGGAAGGAGGGATAGTTCTTTCTGTTCTCCCTAGGGATATACAGTCAAATTGCTGTGTTTTAGTCACTACTTCAAGTGGTTATGTCACTATCTGGGTATACATTATGTTCATTTGTTTCATTCTTTTTTTGATTTTTAATAATTGCTTCTTAAAATTTAATCTTATAATTATGTAGAATATTTACACAGTTCCAAGGTCAAATCTCCCAAACAAGGTATAGTCAATTAATTGTAGCTTCTATCCCTTTCCCCTCTCTCCACCTATAGATAACCTTTAAAAAAAACTTTTTTTGGCTTAAATAAGTTTATCTTTTATAGAAAAGGATAAAAATAAGCAGTCCGTGATCGTTGGGTGGTTTCATAAAGTCCTCAGTGACCCATTCTCCTTCTGTCTTCCTGTTCTGCCATCCTCAGCATGTGGCTTCTACCACCTAGCTCAAGATAGCAATGTGAATTCCAGCTGTTACATCTGCTTTCCAGCTCCTCCTCCTCCACTGCTATTCGAAGTTTCCAGTGACTCTCTGAAGTTTCTCTGTGCATGGTTTCAGTTTCCAGCTTTTTTGCTGCAGCAGCTGCTATAGTTCTATTCCCAGTGAATTTGAGGTTCTTGATGTCTCATTGCAGAAAGAATTCAGTGAGAAACAAAGGTATAGTTAAGAAGTGGATTTATTTAGAGAGAAACACACTCCACAGACAGAGTGTGGGCCATCTCAGAAGGCGAGAGAGCCTAAAAAAATTTTTTTAATTTAAATTTATTTTTGGCTGCATTGGGTCTTTGTTGCTGCGCACGGGCTTTCTCTAGTTGCGGCGAACGGGAGCTACTCTTCGTTGCGGTGCACGGGCTTCTCACTGTGGTGGCTTCTCTTGTTGCAGAGCATGGGCTCTGGGCACGCAGGCTTCAGTAGTTGTGGCATGCAGGCTCAGTAGTTGTGGCTCATGGGCTCTAGCGCGCAGGCTCAGTAGTTGTGGTGCACGTGCTTAGTTGTTCCATGGCATGTGGGATCTTCCCCGACCAGGGCTCAAACCCGTGTCCCCTGCATTGGCAGGCAGATTCTTAACCACTGCGCCACCAGGGAAGCCCTCTACAGTATATTTACCTAACATGTAAAGTAGCTTCAATTTTATTTTACGTGAGCAGATGTGTGTGACTATTTGTATATTCCCTCCCACTACTTAACATTTATCCTTGGCTTCAGCCAGGCCAGGCTCCGCGTTCAAGCACTCTGCCTGGGAGACCCACCATGTTCCTGCTCAGGATAGCATGGTGGTTAAAAGCCAGACACCTGGGCTCAATTCCCAGCTCATCTATTTACTCTCTGTGAGACCTTGAGCAAATTGTGTTACCTCTTTGTGCTTCAGGTTGCTCACCTGTAAAATGGAGTCATGCTAGTCCCCATCTCCTAGGATTATTTTGAGAATTGAATGAAATTAACACATGTAAAAAGTTTAGAATATTGCCTGGCAGGTAGTAAACATTCAATAAGTGTTAGTTCTTATTCCTACCTCTATTCATTTGCCCATGCTCTTGCCCCCACCCAGAATACCCTCCTCCCTTTGGAATTGCCTTATTCAAGACCAAGCTTATTTCTTTTTCTCTGCAAAGATATCCCAACTATTTTAGCCCATATTAGTCTTATTCTCTGAACTTCCTTAGTAATTTTAGTCAGTTTCACAACTTGGTCAGTCTTTTTTGTGGGTAGTCATTGTTTTTGTTGCTTGTTTCCATCATGGCTAGATTATAAACTCTTTGGTTTATACACTTTTTATATCCTCTGTCACAGAGTGAGGCTCAGTCAATGTCCTTTGGATTGGGTTTATCCACTCAGTCTAATCCCTGTTTAGAGCAGCCACCTCAGGTCACTGACTTTCACGCTGGAGAATTAATTCTCAGTGACTCTCACCCATCCCCTCTTCCTGCTGTCTCTTACCCAAATGCTGTCATTGCCCCTTCTGCTCATTTACTTCTTCTCTGCCTTTCATATCCCTATTTCTCTTTCTCCTTCCTCTGTACAAACTTCTCTCTTGGGATATTGTACAAATCTCTTTCAAAGCAACTACCACTTTATTTTTAAATCTTCTGGGTGTATTTGTCTTCCTTACTAGACCACGAGCCCATCTAGGACAAGGGACCCAGTTGTCTTTGTTGTCTTTGGAGCCTCAGTGTTTAGTGTGGTGCCTGGTGAAGAGTTCTGCAGATACCATTTTCTCTCTCACTGTTTCTTTTTTGCATTTGAGATCTTCTCTCTGTCTCTGTTATTGTGTTTTTCCCTATTGGTCTTTGTTCTTCTCAGTCCATCCCTGTCCCCTCGCCTAAGCCCAGCCTGGGTATGGGCCACCCTCCTCTGTCCATTTCTCCTACAGACAGTGTACAGTGCCCTGGGCCTGAGGGATGCTTGCCGCTCCCTGCCCCAGTCCATTCAGCTCTTTCGGGACATTGCCCAAGAGTTCTCTGATGACCTACACCACATTGCCAGCCTCATTGGGAAAGTGGTGAGTGGAAGGAAAGAGGCAGAGCTCCTGGGAAACTAGGGGAGGGATGGGTTTGGGTAATAGAGAACGACTGGGCTCTGGGGAATGTGGTGTGGAAGATGGGGATGCATGGGAGACACTGAGGTCAGCTGGATGACCAAGGGATGGGATGGTGAGAGGAGATGGCAAAATATCAGGGATCTGCTTGGGGGCTTGGAGGGTTAGGGTTAAAGCAGGGACTGAAGGGGCCCAAGTAGAGGTGAGGAACAGGACGAGATGGTGCTGGATGTAAAGAACCTGGCCTTCTTGTCTCCTCAGGTGGACTTTGAGGGCAGTCTTGCTGAAAATCGCTTCACAGTCCTCCCCAACATAGATCCTGAAATTGATGCGAGTGAGTGTTAGGTGTACGGATGGGCCTGTGAGCCCTGAGACATGAGCCTGCCCAGTGATGGGGTACCATTCTCAGTAGGCGGCCACTACAACTGGGGATAATCATCGCAACCAGAGCAGGAACCTTACTTTTGATATCCACGTGTCTTTCACCCTTCTAGAAAAACGAAGGCTGACAGGACTTCCCAGTTTCCTCACTGAGGTGGCTCGGAAGGAGCTGGAAAATCTGGACCCCCGTATTCCTTCATGCAGTGTCATCTACATCCCTCTGGTGAGGGCAGGAGGGTGGGTGTGCTCCCCAGGGGTTTTTTAGGGGGACATTAGGCTTATGAAGGACACATTAGTAGATAAGAAAACCCTGGAGAAATCTGAAGAACATGAATACTTTTTGGTGGCTTTAGCCCCCTGAGGGAAGCATTGGGGGATATAGGGGACTCTGGCTTCCTCTAAGGAAAGAAAGTGCCCAGTACATCACTCTCTGTTTTATCTCTTTTCTACTCTCCGCAGATTGGCTTCCTTCTTTGTATTCCCCGCCTGCCTTCCATGGTGGACACCAGTGACTTTGAGATTGAGGGTCTGGACTTCATGGTGAGACCCTTGACCTCTGTAGGGGTTGATAAGGAAAGTGAATGAGCAGCTGAGAGGAGGGCCTTACCCCATCAGCACTGCCCAATGTGGGATCCCTCTTCTGTTGTTTTACTCTGATCTTTACCAGCTCTGGGACAAAGGAGAAAGAAATCAAGGTCAGGGCTGGAGCGGGGGTTAGATAGGATGAGGATCGAGAGAAGCAAAGCCCATAGCTTTGAACCCTTGTATCCAGTTCCTCTCAGAGGAGAAGCTTCACTATCGTAGTGCTCGAACCAAGGAGCTGGATGCATTGCTGGGGGACCTGCACTGCGACATCCGGGGTGAGGAGAAGCGAGTGGCTGGAGCGGAGTGGGCAGCATGGAGATGATTCTGATAGGCTCCTTTCCTTCCTGCCATTGCTCTCTCTTTCTCTCTCTCTCTTTCTCTCTCTTACTCTGTCTTTTCTGAATGTCTCTGGGTATTTCACATGGTATCTGCAAGCCTGTTTCTGGGTCCCTCTGCTGGCCTTTTTGTCTCTCCTTCACTTTCCCCTGGAGCTGACCCCCAGCTCCCTCCCTTACCTGCCCCCAGACCAGGAAACCCTGCTGATGTACCAGCTGCAGTGTCAGGTGCTGGCACGGGCAGCTGTCTTGACCCGGGTGTTGGACCTCGCCTCCCGCCTGGACGTCCTCTTGGCTCTTGCCAGTGCCGCCCGGGACTATGGCTACTCAAGGCCCCGTTACTCCCCACGGCTCCTTGGGGTACGAATCCAGAATGGCAGGTGAGAACAGAAAAGGGTGGAGGCATACACAAGAGGGGCCCAAAGGCCCCATCTTCTGCATCCACAGGCCACGTGCAAGGTACCTCTCCACCCACTGCAGGCATCCTCTGATGGAGCTCTGTGCCCGAACCTTCGTGCCCAACTCCGCAGAATGCGGGGGGTACAAAGGGAGGGTCAAAGTCATCACTGGACCCAACTCCTCAGGGAAGAGCATATACCTCAAACAGGTAGAGGAATCCCTACAAACTGGGCCTCTGGAATGTTCTCCATTGTCTCCATCCCCCACCTGCCAGTCAACCCAGGTCCCTACAGCTCTTCTCCCCATGTTCTGACCCCAGCTGTCATGAAAAGACCGTAGCCCACACCCGCCGCTCCTCTTCCTCCCAAGTTCTCATTCTCTACCTGAGGGAGAGCCATGCTCTAAAGATCGTTCCATGGCCTGAATTCTCCTCCCCCACCTCTGAGTTAAAGTGTGCCTTTGCTCACTCCCTGCCCTTTACTGATTCTAAAGCGAGCAGAAGGGGCTGTGATCTTCTGTTAAACTGTGTCCATCTCTCTTGATCTATTGTTCTCCCCTCAGTTTAGCCTCACCTTCACCTCAGCCACACGAGGCACCGGGCCCTGTCTCCTCCCCTATTCAGGTAGGCTTGATCACATTCATGGCCCTGGTGGGCAGCTTTGTGCCAGCAGAGGAAGCCGAAATCGGGGCAGTAGACGCCATCTTCACCCGAATCCATAGCTGTGAATCCATCTCCCTTGGCCTCTCTACCTTCATGATCGACCTCAACCAGGTCAAAAGGAGGATGGGTTGGGGGAGGGGGATAATGGGGAAGGAACCCTACCCGTGAAAAATGTCAGGAAAAACGTTCCTTCTGCCTGCTCTCTAAACTAGGGGCAGGGAGCACCCAGTTCAGAGACCAGGAGAATCAATACTGCGAACCTTTATCTATCCCCGGCTTCGTGTGAGGCACTGTTGGCAATGAAAGGATGAACAAAACATGTGTCTTCGCCGTTAAAGAACTTGCAGTCCTGTTGGGTGGACACATACACACACAAGCAGCTTTACTGCCAGGCAGACTGTGGTCAGTGCATTACAGGCCTCGAATGTTTCTGAAACTATCCCTTGTCCACCTGGTACCCAGCAGGTGGCGAAAGCAGTGAACAATGCCACTGAGCGGTCGCTGGTCCTTATTGATGAATTCGGAAAGGGAACCAACACGGTAAGGGGAGAAGCTGTTGAGGATCTAAGGAGGGGAAAATGAAGGAGGGCTAAGGAACAAGAGGGTGCGGCTGCGCCTCTGGAAAAGAATAGGGGTGTGTGGGTGGAAAAGAAACAGTGTGAGGCGGGAGAGGCCTGGCAGGAGGAGAGGGGTGCACGGGGCACCTGTGGTTCCACAGCCTCACCCCTGCCCTCTGCACAGGTGGATGGTCTCGCGCTTCTAGCGGCCGTGATCCGACACTGGCTGGCGCTTGGGCCCACGTGCCCCCACATCTTCGTGGCCACCAACTTTCTGAGCCTCATTCAGCTACAGCTGCTGCCACAGGGGCCCCTCGTGCAGTATTTGGTGAGGAACCAATCCAGCTCCCTAGGGGCCCCTAGGCCGAGCATTTCCCAGAGCTGGGAACTGGCTTCTCCGTCAGAACAGGGGCTCCTTGAGCACAGGAACCATGTCCCTTCCTGTTTCTCACTCTCCACAGCAACTGACCAAGGGACTGGGGCAGGAAGCAGAATGACTGATAACATTCCCCTTTTATTCTCTTTTAAGACCATGGAGACCTGTGAAGATGGGAATGACCTTGTCTTCTTCTATCAGGTTTGCGAAGGTGTTGCCAATGCCAGCCATGCCTCCCACACAGCTGCCCAGGCTGGGCTTCCTGAGAAACTCATTGCTCGTGGCAAGGAGGTGAGGTCCAAACAGCAACCGCCTCCATCAGGGCTCCCTTTCACTGTCCCTGCTTCTCTGAGGGACCTGGATTTCTGGGCCCATGGGATTTCTGACCCTTACTCTCTTCTCTTACCCAACACCCACTCCCACCCCTGCCCCTTCCTCCTTGGTCCTAGGTCTCAGACTTGATCTGCAGTGGAGAGCCCATCAAGCCTGTCAAGGAGCTGCTAAAGGAGAAACAAATGGAAAAGTGAGTGCAGGCCCAGGGTCCTTGTTCTCTCTAGCATGTTCTGCAGCTCTTCTACCCCTTTCAGGGACTCAGACAGTCTCTTGCCCTTTAAAGATTCAAAATTTCTTCCTGCAATTTCTAAATTCTCAAGGTCTCGGGTTTCCTGTGCTGCATCCTCTTCCCTCTGCTCAGGGATTCTGTTATCCATGCTTCCATAAATCTCACTGTTCTCTCTCCCCTCAGTTGCCAGATGTTAGTAGACAAGTTTCTGAAACTGGATTTGGAAGATCCCAGTCTGGACCTGGACATTTTCATGAGTCAGGAAGTGCTGCCTGCTGCCGCCACCATCCTCTGAGAGTCTTTCCTGGGCTCTCCTCCACATCCCAAACCCCGGGAGCCTGCCAGGCCCTCTTTGTTTCCTTACCTCCTTCACACCCAGAGTTCTCAGTTTCCCTGGAAATTTTGTTTCATGTTAGTAATAAAGTTTGTTTTGGAGAAAGTTATTGTTTCCTTAGACGAGCCAAAACAAAACAAGAGAGTAGGAAAGAGATGAAATAGGAAGCAGCAGGCCACAGAGGGACCTGCCCTGCCTCATTAAAAATAAAGTATCACTGCTGGAGGGAGGCCCTCGGGTTCTACCCAGGGGGACTTTATGAGAACCAACCACTTCAACAGACCCTACAAAAACAGATGAGAGAGAAGACAGGAGCCCAAGGGAGATGTTCTTTCCCCTCAAAGTAGGAACACCTCAGCCTGAGACAGACCCAGCAGGAAGGGCTCTGGGAGGCTGAAAGACTAGGCAGGACCGGTGCAAGGCTGGGGGAAAGGGAGGGACCAGCCCTGCACCAGTGGGTGTGGCTCCACCCTTCCCACCTCAGAGCCATGGGGAGCCGGGGTCCTGGTGGGCTGCCCCTGGTGCAGGCCCCCTACACAGTTCTGCTGCTGCCACTGGAGACAAGCCGCCAAGACCCGGGGGCCCAGCGCTTCTTCCTCTGGGTGAGTATCAGTCCCGCAAGAGGTCCCGGGAAAGCCCCTCTCCCTAGATCAGTCTCCTGCAATTCCACTCAATTTTGAGGACTCGTAAGTTCAGCCCCTTGCTTTCCCTTGCCCTCCAGGTCCTCAGTGGCCAGTCTGGGTTCACACTCAGTGACCACATAGCGAACTGAACCACGGGTTATGAGCAAGGGCCATGCGTGGCCCAGAACCCTGCTGTGGAGTGAGTCAGCCTCTGCTTCTTGCCTTGTTCAGCTGCAGAGGATGCAGGCTCTGGAGCGGGAACAGGATGCCCTGTGGCAGGGGCTGGAGCTGCTGGAGCATAGCCAGGCCTGGTATGAGGGCCGTCTGAGGGAGGCCCAGCAACAGCAGCTATATCTGGGGTCCTTGGTGAGGTATGGGGCTGACCCATGGTATGTGGGGGCAGGGGTAGCAGGGACGTGTGGACACAGCCTGACACCATCCTGGAAAGGCAAGAGTTAAGGGACAGGGATCATCAATTGGAAGCAGCATTGTAATGACAGGATGCCACCAAATGTTAGGTCGGTTCATTGTTGGGCCTAGAGGAGGCTGGTCTGCATTCCATTCAGAGGGACACAATTTGGCTCACTCCATGGAGATGGGGGAGTGGTCTGGATTGTTCCAGTGAGTCAGGGATGGACAGGAGGGAGGATCCAAAGAATAGAGAAAGCGGGTACTATGCTATTTGAGGGGGTTGGAGGAACTGGACTGCTAAAGAGATGGAGTGGAGAGTACTGGAATTTCCCACCTGCCTGGCAGGGAACTGGGATGAGGGGATCCAGATGGAGGAGAGGAATGACCTGTGGTGATAGGAGAAGAGTGGCAGATGGTACTCGAGTTTCACCACGTTGTCTGCCTCTAACTCCTCCTTTTAGAATTTTCCAACAGATTTACACTCAGAGCCTGGTGGCCCCCAGTTAGTCCAGATTCAAAAGGTGAACATCTGTTTGCAGAATCTGCTTCAGGGGAAGGTGAGTTTATTGTTTTTAGTTTACTCTGGGGAAGTGGGGGTAAAGAGAGGACTTGGGGTCAGCACTGGTCTAACAAAACAGCGAATTCCCCCCCCAACAGTTCTCCCCACATCCCCTGAACAAAGCTAGTTCCTGCGCCACCCAGGACTGGAAGGGAAGGCCAAGGAAGCAGAACGTGTGGCAGCAACACGTAAGCAGTAGAGGAGTGGGGGGAGGGCGGAAGCCCTGGCCCTCAGTGGGAGGGAGGGCACAGACACCCAGACTGTCTCCCTCCTCTTCTGCAGGTGGTGTCAAGGCAGCAGAAAGGAGTCACTAAGCCAAAGGGGGAGATGGCTCAAACAGGCTGCCCCAATGGACGGAGGGGCCCTACCCGTGTCTAATGTCTCCTCTGGTTCCCCTCAGTTGTGCTGGCAAGGCTGAGTCAGAACCCCCAGCCTCCTTATTCTGCTTCTTGACTCAATAGCTAAATGGCTCCAGGTGGTGGGTCAACTGAAATCCTGACATCTTGCTGTGAAATTTCTTCTCCACTCCTGAAAACTTCCATTTCGTCTTTCTGGTATCTTACGCTCTCATTCTTCCCTATATGATGTGCATAAGTGATCTTTCTTTGAAATCCCTCTGGGGAGAAGACATGTTTATTGGCACTGTCTTTCAACTTTAAATACAAAAATAAAATTTAAGCATCTCCAGAATTTCAAAAATAAAATAGAAGCGTCTCCAGAATTTCAATAAAAGCAATTCTATAAATAACATTTTTCAGCAGGAGGTGCGGTACCCTCCTCCCCACTTCCAATCTTAGTCACTGCCCCATGTATCTTCCCCTCTACCTGAGCTTGGGAGAGCATGAATAAGTAGCAGAATAAAGATGCTACAGAGGGCTTCCCTGGTGGTGCAGTGGTTAAGAATCCACCTGCCAATGCAGGTGACACGGGTTCGAGCCCTGGTCCGGGAAGATCCCACATGCCACGGAGCAACTAAGCCCATGTGCCACAACTACTGAGCCTGTGCTCTAGAGCCCGCGAGCCACAACTACTGAAGCCTGCGTGCCTAGAGCCCGTGCTCTGCAACAAGAGAAGCCACCGCAATGAGAAGCCCATGCACCACAACGAAGAGTAGCCCCAGCTCGCCGCAACTAGAGAAAGCCCGTGCTCAGCAACAAAAACCCAAATCAACCAAAAAAAAAAAAAAAAAAAGATGCTACAGAGAAATAGAAAGCAACTTTCTCCAAAAATGAGTCTGGTTTGTTTCCCACAAGGGTTAGGGAAAGTGCATTGTGGGAAAATCCATTGCCTTCTATCCCAATCTTGGAAGGGACAAGTGCATGAGAAGGAAAACCTCCATCCCACCTGGGAGAGGTAGGGTCCGGAGGCCCATGTTACCTTCTTACCAATGGGGCAAGATGGCAAACGGTGCCAGAGACCCATCCCTCTAGGGGCTGTTGTGTCACCAGGAGGCCAGGCCTAGCAGGAGCAGCACCGCTCCAACTGTGCCCCACCAGGGGTTGCCCACCAGCCCTCCCCCAGCCCTGCCCGGAGTCACCAAGGTGGAAAGATGAAAGGCAGGGCTGGTGGTTGTGAGGACAGGGTCAGTCGAGTGGACAGGGGCAGGGAGCTGGTCCTGGGGAGAAGAGGGAGAGGCTGTCAGGGTGGCTGCACCCAAATAAGTCTGCACCACCCTCCTCTCACCTTGCCTATCCTGCAATGGAAAGTGGGGGCGCCTCACCTGCGGGGTGGGGCCCCGCACCAGGAGCCGGAGGAAGGCATGGGTCGAGGGTACTGTGCTGGCTTCTCGATTCATCGCGGTCACAGTCACCATCACCACGGAGTCTGAGGCGGCTGTGTCTGGTACCTTCAGCCACAGGCACCCCCAGGCGGACTCATTCTGTTCCAGGCGAACCCTGGGGAGTGGATGCCGAAGTCCGGCTGAAGCCGCAGGCTCTGAATAGCCGAAAGCCAAGGGGTGGAGCCAAGCGCAGGCTGGGAGGGGAGCGAGGAATCTGAGCGCCAATTCGAAAGAGCCAGAGGAGAGAGTACCAGATCCCACGCCCTGGGAATAGAAAGATGGGACAAGAAGGGAGCAGGAGGTTTCAGGGGCTTCACCTGGAGAGGTTGGAGGTGAGAGCGAAGCTGGGGTTGACGGATGTCCTAAGATCGAGATCCTGAGGGCCCGAGAAGCTGGCAATGCGGAGGCTGAGCGGGGCCTCGGTGCCCGGCGCCAGGAAACCCGGGGGACCACTGAGCTGCGGAGGAGGGCCGGTCAGGGGAGGAGCAGCAGGCCCTGTTCTCTCCAGCCGCAGCCGCACCTTCCGCTGGCATCTCACCTCTAGAAGGACAGGAACTACAGCACAGGGCTGGGGGGCCACCCGGTGCAGGCCCTGCCCCACTCCGTCCTGGCCAATCAGCTCCAGAGAGAAGGGTCCCGCGGTGGACAGAAGCGTGGGCGGTAGCGAGGCAACGAGGAGACCTCGCTCCCGGGGTCCCATGGGCTCCAAAGGCACCCGGCCCAGCTCGGCACCGTGCGGGACCCCTCGAAGGACGACGTGGGAGAAATGCGGCAGAGGATCTCCAGGGTTTCCTCTGGAGCCCAGCCCTGTCACTTCTACCAGCAGCTGGGAATGGAGACCTGGGACAGGGGAGGGGAGGAAAGAACAGTGGCTGCGTGAGGTTTGGAGACAGGGAGAAAAGCATGAACAGCTTTGAATAGGGGTTAGCTCTCGCGGTATGGATGGGGAAAAGGGGTTACCTCTATGGGTATTGACGGCGAGGGCCAGGAGGGAGTGCTGGGATGCTGGAAATGTTCTATAGCTTGAACTGAATGACGGTTATTTTTATTATATAAAATCCACCCAGCTGTACACTGTAGTACACCTTATTAAATGTTATAACTCAATGAAAAGCTATATATATAATTTATATATATACACAAAGCAAGTTGGGGTGGGGACAGATGTACCTGCAACTGGTTGAGTCAGGGGGTAGAGGCCAGGGTGGGGTCCATCCTTCATGGGGATCCCAAAGTGGAAGAGGAAATCCAGGGAGGTCTGGGCTGAGGGAGGGCGAAGGCAGTCAGAGACCTTCCAGAGATGAACGTCACTCATATTGCTCTCTGAGCTCTGCAGTCTCCCCTTCCTTTCCCAGGAATATCTCCCTCCTTACCTTGTACTCTCACCCGGGGGGTACCCTTGGCTGTGACCTGGATCTCCCAGGTTCCTGTCTGCAGGGGGTCATTCATGCGCACCATCCAGAACTGCCCGAAGCGGCGAGTATGACCTAGAGGCCCCTCACCTTCCTCCTGGCCCTGGGAGACCCCTGGACGGGTATTGGGGGCAAGAGATTGTCACAGGAGAATTCCTTTCCCTTAGTACATTACCCCTCATTCTCCAGTCTCCATTCTTGCCTCTGCCTTGAGACACACACATGGAAGTACCTGCAGGGTTTCTGATCCAGAAGCTGCTGAGCTCCCCATGGATCCGGACTGTGACCCTCTGGAGCAGCCCATCCACACTGAACACAAGTGGCCTCTCAGGCACCACAACAGGAGGCTCCAAGGGAAGGGTCACCTTGAGGGGGCAGGACCGAAAAATGGGGGAGAAGATAAGGCATGGAATGAGGTGGGAACAAAGACAGGAGAAAGAAAGGTAGAGACAGAAAAAAACTAAGTAACACATGGGATACCAGTGAGAGAGGAAGGACCAGGGATGAAGCTATGATCAATGACAAAGTTGGAGGCAAGGGATTAAGGATGAGGTAACCACTTCTTGCCCCCCTTAAAAGATGGCAGGACTTCCTAGAGTAGCCGTGAAGACAGAATACTGGAGGCCAAGACTGAGGGTGGTAGTACTAATATGGAAGGAGCAGTGTAGAAGGTGGGTAGCTGTGGATCTCAGAGGGAGAGAAACTTCCTTTCCCACTCTCTGTCTAGAATGGCAACTCAGCAATGGGAGCCATTTGCTTTCTTCTACAAGAAAGAGAAATGCAGTGTCACCATCGTCCCCTCAGTTCTGAGCTGAGCCCCCACACTTACCAGGTCAGCTACGCTGTCCCCAACAATGGCTGCCACATCCTGAATGTACTGGTCTTTGGTGAAGATCACCTCTCCTCCTGAGGCCAGCGCCACCGCTTCATACGGCTCAAAACGCAGAGGGGACAAGACCTCACGCCGAGGTCGGCCCTGAACCCTAGATGGGTCTTCAGTCAACAGGAATGTGACCTGTGCCCAGAAGAAAGGCCAGGACTTGAAGTTTCCATTTGCCATCTACCATTGTAAATAAGGATCTCCTGTGCTCAAGCTTTCTACAGAGCTGGTGATTGGTGGTAAATTCTCTGTCTACCCTCTGACTGCTACAGCAGGGTCTCCCAATGACACAACCCCTGGGCTTCAATTAGAAGTTGCCATTCCCTGTAACTGTCACCATACGTCATCCACATAGTGGATTGCTGGCAGCCAAATCTCCAGTTCTTCAAACGGTTTATTGGGGGCAGATTCATATAAGAATTCAGCATCATTAAGGGTAGGGCCTTCCACTCTTTAGTATTGTTAAAGGGATCTGGAAATGTTATACTCATGGTTCACTTCTCCCACCCCCAAGCCAAGTCTGGTTTAACCACCCTAGTGTGAGTGTGACCCTTGTAATGAGAGTTGTCCTGCAGTTTCCCACATCCCTGGGTAGCTAACACTGAGTCTCCCACCAGCTATGCTTACTCTGCAACGCCGCTCCTGAGTCAGAGATTCCACCCGGTTGGTGAGAAAGGCATCCTTGGGGGAGGCGTCAGTGAAGACGAAGATGTCTGAGAGTGGAGGTGTGTGTAGCAGGGCCAGCTGACAGGGGAGGGAAAAAACTGGTGTTAAAAAATGGCAGCAGTGGGACTTCCCTGGTGGCGCAGTGGATAAGACTCCACGCTCCCAGTGCAGGGGGCCGGGCCTCGATCCCTGGTCAGGGAACTAGATCCCACATGCATGCCGCAACAAAGAGTTCACATGCCACAACTAAGGAGCCCGCCTGCCGCAATTAAGGAGCCCATGTGCCGCAACTAAGGAGCAGGTGAGCCGCAACTAAGGAGCCCACCTGCCGCAACTAAGACCTGGCACAACCAAATAACTTTAAAAAAAAGTGGAGGCAGTAGGGGAATGGGCAGAGCAAGGGAGGGCAGAGTAGAAGGCAATACGGCCCTGGAACCTGGAGTGAAGCGAGTGGGACTAGGTTCTGAAGATGGGGTGGAGGGATGAGGTCCCAGGGAAGCTCTAAGCTCCCTTGATGGTGGGGCCTGGAGAGGGGTGGCGAGAGAAGAAGGGAAGGGGTGGGGAGGGCAGACCTCCAGGGCTGACAGGCACATCTCGGGCTCATCTCCACCTCCCAAGGCATGTATTTCATTGAGTTGTTGCCAGAAGCTGTCAGGGTCACTGGTTGTAAAGACGGGGCCAAACCCTGGGAAAGGAGAAAGGAGATTGAGATAAGTGAGAGGAGGGCTCCCCTCATTCCCACCCATGGGCATCTCCCCAGTCAAGGGGCCCCGCTGTGCTCCTTGGGTGGACAAGTATTGAGATAACAATATTCCTTTATACTGACAGGGTAGAACAAGGCAGGGGCTAGGTACCTCTGGTGGGAAAGTGGACCTCATTTCCTCACAAAATGGTGGCACTTCCTGTGGTCCTGAGTGGGCCTTTTTGGGTATATGTGTAAGTATAAAAAACAACCGAGGGGACTTCCCTGGTGGCTCAGTGGTTAAGAATCTGCCTGCCAATGCAGGGGACATGGGTACGAGCCCTGGTCCGGGAAGATCCCACATGCTGCCGAGCAACTAAGCCTGTGCGCCAAAACTACTGAGACTGCGCTCTAGAGCCCGCGAGCCACAACTACTGAGCCCACGCGCCACAACTACTGAAGCCTGCACGCCTAGAGCCCGTGCTCTGCAACAAAGAGAAGCCACTGTAATGAGAAGCCCGCGCACTGCAACGGCAAAAAGCCCCCCCCCCCCCCCCGCTCACCACAACTAGAGAAAGCCCATGAGCAGCAACGAAGACCCGACACAGCCAAAAAAAAAAGCCAACATAGATAACCAACGAGGACCCACTGTATAGCACAGGGAACTATACTCAATATCTTGTAATAACTTATAATGGAAAAGAAACTGAAAAAGAATATATATAACTGAATCACTTTGCTGGACACCTGCAACATTGTAAATCAACTATACTTCAACTAAAAAGCAACAAAAAAAACTGGGTCCTCAGTTTCCTCACAGAAAAGACAGAGAAATAATAGTACTTACCTCAGAGAGGGTTATTGGGTGATTAAATGAGTTGATTTTGTAAATCTTAGAATAGTGCTTTGACACATAATAAGTGCTAAATTCTTAATTATTCACTTACTTGTACCTTTATCAAATATGTGATAAACCCCTTTTGAATGTCAGCTACTAAGAGATTTATATAGGCAGATCAGACTCAAACCCTGCCCTTAGGGAATTCTCAATCCAAATTTTATTTCATGATCATTTTGACCCTGGGATATAGGCGGGATAAGGCAAATACTAATCCACTTTATGGTTGATGAAATTGAGGAAAGAGAGGTTAAACAATCAGCCTAAGTACACACAGTAAGTGCCGGTCAACCCAGGCCAGGTGATCTGACTTCTAATTTAGCGGGGAAAGGAATATGATGTACCTAGCTGTCTTAGACATTTCACAGGGGCCTGGACCCACCAACCCGCCCCCCATCTTCATCCCAACCTGTCTACAGGAAATGGAGAGAACTGAAAATGACTTATTAGAATGGAAGCCTAAGAAAGCAGGGGCTACCTGCCTAAGCACCCATAATGATTAAACTCATATGGAAAGTGCTGTCATGTTGGAAGCAGTAGAAGAAGTGGCTGATTGTTTCCAATATGCACACAAGTACCAGTAAAGACTCACTCAGGACCCTAGGAAGAGCCTCCCTTTTATTATGGAAATGAAGCCATTAGGCCCACTTCCCTACCAGTGGCATTTACCCCTTGCCCTGGACTTCCCTCCGCTATTCCTGCCAGACCCCAGTTACCTGGGTCATGGAAAGGCACCAGGACATAGTGGGTGGGCTCCATGGGGCCGCCCCGTCGCTGCTCCACAATGTGGCGAGCCTGGATTTTGGCAGCATTGATCTCCTCGCCCATACTTCCTGTGGTATCCAGGACGAAGCTCAGGCTGGAGGCTGGGGTGATGTCCAGCAGCCTGGGAAGCAGGCCAGAGACACAGTGAAGGGTCTGCACACTTGTCCCCAGGCCCTGGTTTCTCAACTCTGGAGCACCTACCTATTAAGGAGCCCATCCCCAGGAGGCCACTCACCTGGAGAAACCCCTGTCTCCCAGGCGGCTTCGTAGGAGGCTGAAGGCCTGGATGGAGGCCAGAAGGGCCAGGTTTGCAGCCTGGAGGTGCAGCATGTGGTGTGGGGAGAAGCCTGGGGATGTGCTATCCTTGTTGATGCCTCCCCGTGGTGGCTGGGAGCTGCTCTGGTCAAAATGGCCCCCATGGCTACATTTCCCTGGGTTGGGGAAAGGGATCTGGAGGGTGGAGGTAAAAAACCCACTGCCTCCTAATAAAACGAGGCCCTCTCTGACCTGCCCTGACCCTCTCGCTCCTCAGCAAAGGATAAGCAGAAAATTATGATATTTTGTAGAGGGCAAATCTGGAGTAAATCTGGAATGATTAGTTACCACAGCACACGGTAGATCCCTTGATCCCCCCAGTTAGTCCCCAAAAGCTGCTCTCGGGCACTGAAGTCTTATCGGCAATGTGAGAAGCTGCTCCCACCACCCCAACAATCATGGCCACCTCAGTGGGCCTTCATCCACCTGCTCCCCTCCCAGCATCCTCTCCTTCTTCCAAGAAGTGATGCCATAGGAAATAGGACAAGGGCTACAGGACTGAGGTCCCTAGGGAGAGGGTCAGGGGAGAGGAAGTGACTTTCTCCCCTTACTTCTGGGGGCTTTCCTGTCTGGTACCTGGAGGTTTGGAGGTATGAGTTCCAAAGTAGCCAGAGGTGAGGAGTGTGAAGCCCAGCAAATTCCCAGGGCAGCTCCACTCGTCACAGTCGGAGCAGGTAGGATCGCCCACTGGGAAGAGAGGGCAAGGGTCTGGCACCCAAGATTCTGCTGCCCCTGACCTTTATCCCTGTCCACCCGAACTTCTTCAGCTTTTCCTCTCAACTGGAACAAGGTAAAAGCCCATAGGTACCCTTTGCTGGTACCCTTCCAGGCTTTCTGAACTAAAACCTGGAGCTCATGGCTGGCAATGAGACTTAATATTTGAGACTGGGACTGTGCTAGAAAACCCGGAAGTGGGGGGGGCACCAATCCTACGGGAGTGTGCCCTCTGTGAGCTGTGGACAGGAAGTGAACCTGTACTAGACAGGAGGCAGCTTCCGGGTCACAGTTCAGTTGGAAGGATGAGGGGACTGAGAGAGAAAGCCCCCCGTGTGATCCAGTGGGGGGAGGAAGCCACGTGAAAGACAGAGAACTCCTGACGTCTGCAGATCTGGTCCTGGCTCTGTCCTCTGCTGCGTGACCTTGGGGAAGCAGCTGACTGGCCTTTGGCTGAACCGAGGGACCGCACAGGTGGTTCCAGAGATGAAGCCATGTTGTACCCTATTCGACCCCAGGATGTGAGGCGGCTCTGTGGGCTCACCCTCACCAGTGGGGTCCCGGCCGTACCTTGCGCCAGGTTCCGCAGCCCCTGCCTTGGCCAGAGGAGGTGAGGGTGTGGCTGCTGCTTCCCCAGTTCCACCCAGTTGCTGTGACTGTAGAAATCCTGGTCCCAAGAGGAAGGAGAAGGGGAAGAAGCACTAGCTCACTGTTCTCACCGTCTCCAGCCCTGACTCCCCTTCCTCCCAGTTCCCCAGCCTGAAAGCCTCCTCCACCCTGCTACGCCCCAGACACCCCAAGTCCCCTCCACTGCTCTCTCCCTTGCCCAGAATAGAGCTCGGCCAAAGTGGGAGCCTCCCACGTTTCTTCCCATCTCACTCAGAGCCCAGCCAGAAGCCTTTCAGTGGCCTGCACGGCCCACCTCTTGACCTCAGCACCGACCTCTCTCACTCACCTGCTCCAGCCGCCAATGCCTCCCGGCTGTTCCCACAGGAAGCTGCCAGTTTGGAGGCGGGGACTAGGGAATAGCCCCAGGGCCTTGGCAAGCAGCGCCCCAGCCCCTTCTAGAGTAGGGGGAGGCATGGCTAAGGAGGCACCATTCAGGAGACAGGAAGACTGGAAACGAAGACCCCTCTGACCACGACCCACCAACTCTGTCCTCACCTGCAAGGCATGAAGCGCAGCCCCGAGGCGCTGGCGGGCCAGGCTGTGGTCAAGGGCTCTGGCCGCCACCACAGTCTCCCCTAGAGCTCCCACCAGGCGTGCGCGCCCCTGGCCCAGCCGCTCGGCATCAAAGTGCAAGTCAGGGTCATTCCTGGAAGTCGGCAGGAAGTCCTGGGCGGCGTTGGCACGAGACACCTCTCCTAAGGCTGCTCGGAACCGCCGGGAAGGAGACCCAGGTCCGAAGTAGGCGGCAAAGAGGTTGTCGGCAAGGAGAGTGCGGCCCTGGGAGGGTGGTAGGGGGCAGGGGTTCCAGGGAAGCCCCTTGGATCGGACCACTGCCTACATTTCCTCAGCTCTGTCACTCCAGACCGGGTGTGGGAAGAATTGAGGGTGCTGAGCCCTACAAGGGAGGGGCAATCCTGGACACTCCTAAGGAGGGGGACTCCTGATTGTAGGACCAGGACTCCTGGGTATTGTTGATGTCAGGAGGGGAGGAGGGAATGTGTGCGTGGGGTCCCTTCTCTGGGCAAGCAGGACCCTCAAGTAGTATAAGTCCCCCAGAATGGGGGAATCCACCTGGGATGTGACCGGACCCAGGGACGCTCACCAGGAAGTCCTCAAGGCGAAGGGGGGGCCGACCTGGGGGCGGCTGCTCCAGGAAGAGCTGCAGGGTGACGTTGAGTGCCGCCTCCTCGGTCAGGTCCTGGTGGGTGATGGAGCCGGGGGCAGCCAGGAGGCTCCAGATATTGGGGAAGAAGGCAGCTGCGGGGCCCAGCAGCTGCAGCAACAGCAGCAGTGAGGGGCCCAGGTGGGACGGGGGCTCGTCCGTGGGGCGCATGGCTGACACATGGACCTGGGGAACAGAAGGCTCTCCAGAGAGCAGGAAGCAGCAGAGACTTCAGGGCAGGCCCGGCTCTGTCTCCATGGGCACCTGCTTTGGCCCCCTTAACTGGCTTCCCCGCCCTCTCCCTTCAACCATCCGGACAACCTGAGGGCCTCTCAGACCAATAGGGACTTACACCTGCAGGGGAAGGTCCGAGGCTCCTCCCCCACCCCCGCACCACCCCCCACCCCACCCCTCGGCTAACGCCCCCACGCAGAGGAAGTCTCCTCTCTAGGCCTCTCCCCTACCTGGTTGCTGGGTCTCCAGGCAGGGCCGGGGGGGCGGGGGGGGGGCAGGGTGTCACAGGGCACTTAGGTCAGAGTTATAATTAACCTAGGACGGATTCAGTGGAGGGAGGGAGGGAGGCCCCGGCAGGGTGTGGGCAGGACAGGCGGCTCCTGGCCCCTCTACTCCGGCCTGCCCAAGGCCACAAGCAGCAGCCAGCACCAGGGCGGGCCTCCCACGGCTGGATGGTTGGCCGCAGTGCGGAGGTGAGGGAAGAGCTGGGAGGAGGAGGCAGCAGGAGGGGGGAGCTAGCAGCGTGACTCAGGCCTGGCTCAGGGCCAGGGCCAGACCCAGAGAGACGCACCTCTCTACCCGCAAGGACCCAGTGCCTCACGCCCAGCCTGCTGCCCTCCTGTTCACGTTGGCACCTCTGAGGATTCAGGAACCCAGCCCCTCAGCACCCCGTCCCCAGCCCCACCACACACAGCCAAGAGATGGTTTTGTGGCAAAATATTTTATTGCTGCCATCCCCATGGTGGAACACTGGGAGTTACGAGGGTTGGAGTTGGGTGTATCACAGCATCTTCTGAAATAGGGAGATGGCCTCATCGACCTTCCTGAGCTCTGCTTCTGTCTGCTGGAGCTGAGGGTGAAAAAGGGGGTGAGTGGTGAGACCTAGGGCCAAGAGAAAAGAACCCCAAAGGCCCACAGGAGCAGAGAGGTCAGGGACTTCCCTGGTGGCTCAGTGGTTAAGAATCCACTTGCCAATGCAAGGGACACGGGTTCGACCCCTGGTCCGGGAAGATCCCACATGGCGCGGAGCAACTAAGCCCGTGCGCCACAACTACTGAGCGTGTGTCCTAGAGCCCGTGAGCCATAACTACTGAGCCCACGTGCCAAAACTACTGAAGCCCGCACGCCTAGAGCCTGAGCTCTGCAACGAGAAGCCACCGCGACGAGAAGGCTGCGCGCCGCAGCCAAGAATAGCCCCCACTCGCGGCAACTAGAGAAAGCCCACGTGCAGCAACGAAGACCCAACGCAGCCAAAAATAAATAAATATATATATTAAAAAAAAAAAAAAGCAGAGGGGTCAGAGTTGGAAAGATGGGTAAGGACCACGGGCAGGGAGTAGTCTGGGGGAACTGTGTGCTTGGCTAGCCTGCTTCCCCCTAATTCCCCACCTCCCTGTTCTCTTCCACCATCACTGGTGTCCTGGGTCCTGTCTTTTCCCAGAGTGGTCTACTCCCAAAGACAAAGGGGCTTCAGAGCTCATGTGCGCCACCCAGTGGCTCAGCCCCAGCCAATGACTGGGGAAGCAGGCACAGTGGTTAGGGACAGAGGCTCTGAGGGGCCCTCAGCCTTCATCTGGAAAATGGTGTTGGTAATACTGCCCTGCCATGAGAGGGCTACTGGGACAATCACGTGAGACAACCCTGCTCAGCTGCCAAGGCTCTGTAGCTCCTAGCCTCCACTCATGTTTCTCTTTTTGTCCCTGTGGTTTACCCCATGGCTCCTCCCTGCAGGGGTCCCAGGTGATCTGCCAAGCTTCCTGACTGTATTGGGTCAATCCCAATCCCAGCCCCCCGGCATGTGGATACCAAGTTCTGGGAAGCGGGTGGTGCACGAGGGGTCTGACTGGGAGGAAGGATGGATGGATGGTCTGCTTCCATCTTCAACTTGCTGTGTGACCCTGGACTGTGCCCCTGCCCTGGCTGTTCTTCACGTGTGAGAGCGGGGATTACGTGGTCCCACCTGCTCCTCCATGGATTGCCTGGGGCCCGGCAGAGCAGGCGCAGGAGGGGGTTTGATGGTGGGGGGAGTGATGGGGTGGGAAATGGGGAAGGAAACGCCCACCCACACCACACACCTTGACTTCATCTGCCTCCTGGACTTTGAGGGGCACCTTGACAGTGTAGCCCGAGGCAGCACGGCGTTCCCGCAGACGCTGGGCCTGCCGCTGCGCCTCACTGCGCTTGGCCTGCAGTTTGCCCAGCTCCCGGGCCGGGTCTACCAGCCCCTGCAGCTGCAGGTGGACAGAGCAGCGGTCAGAAGCCAGGGCCACAGCGCAGCCCTGGGGTGCAGAAGCCCCCAGTGCCAGGACAGCCACTATACCCGCGCTGGCCAGCGTCTGCACATGGCCCGACACTGCTGATGCCAGGGCGCCCGTGGCCTCGTCAGCCACTTCCAGGAAACCTGCGTGGGAGGGAGAAAGGAGACGAGACAGCCACACTGGACACGGGTCCCAGAGTGGGCTGAGGGGACGGGGGATGCGGGGGCCTGAGGCTCACAGTCGGGCCGGATCCGGGTGAGGTTGTAGTCGGCACGCAGGGAGCGCACGGCTCGAGTGATGCTCAGGGCCAGCTCGAAGGCGCCTTCCGCCTCAGGGTCCTTCCAGGAGCACTGTGGGGTGGAGAAGCGGGTGAGGGAAGCTGGGGGCTGGCTCTGCACAGCTACCCGGAGCCCACGCCAGGCCACACCCCATACCTCCGAGGGCTCCGGATAGGAGGTAACGCAGAGGCTAGGGGGAGCTTGTGGCGTCCGCCGGGGCAGCCTCTGGAACAGCTCCTCGGTCACAAAGGGCATGAAGGGCGAGAGCAGCCGCAGGCCGACGTCCAGGCAGGTGTAGAGGGTCTGGCGGGCGTGCTCGGCCGCCACCTGGTCCACCCCACTCAGCACAGGCTTCAGGCACTCCTGGGGAGGGGGAGGCACAGGGCTCAGGGCTGGGGAGGCCTAGCTTCCAGCCCTCGCTGAACTGCTGAGGACGGGGAGGGGGACAGGCTGGCTCAGGTCTCATGCCAACCCAGGGCTCTGTGCACCCCGGCCCCTCGGCCCCTCCTCACCAGGTACACATCACAGAGCTCGTAGAGCCAGAAGCTGTACTGGGCGGTGGTGACAGCTGGGAAGTCGTAGGCCTGGAAACCCTGGTTGCTGAGCCTCACAGCTTCAGTCAGCCGGCTGCGGATCCAGCGGTCCACCAGGCTCCCGCGGCCTCCAGGCTTGGGGGGAAGCACCATATCAGGCGGGGGGCCACCATATGCCCAGGCGGAGGGGAGCCAGAACCCCATGGGAACGGGAACCATGGGGAAATCTGCATTCCAGGAGCCTGATGGGTCCAAGGCAACCACCATGTGCCCAGTGCCCTGGGGGAGAAGGGGTAGGCCTCCCTCCACCTTGTGGAAGGACCACAGTGCCTGAGGCTCTCCTGATGACAATCTGTCCCTATATCCTTCTGTCTCCTCAGCTAGACAGAGGCTCCTTGGGGGCAGGAGCCGGGCTTCCTGACTCTGTGGCTACAATCCTGAAACAGCATGGGCCGTGCTTGATGGCAAGGATGCAACCTGTGTGGGTGCTGCCCACCTCGCGCCTACCAGGCCCTCACCTCAGAGGTGGGTGAGGGCACAAAATCCTTCCCAAGGCCACGGAGGGCAAACTTGGTGGCGTTCCAGAGCTTGTTGCAGAAATGGCGGTATCCCAATATCCGGTTCACATCCAGGTTGATATCACGGCCTGGGTGGAGGTGAAGTGTGAGTCCACACCGTTCTCCCTCCCAGCTCACGCCCAGGGCAGAGGAGAGAGCTGTGCCTCAGGGAAGGAGGAACGATGCAGCTGAGACAGGTTTGAGGAGCCGTACCCTGGGATGTGTAGGCGCACAGTCCAAACCGGAGAGCATCGGTGCCACACTCAGGGATCCCCGCCGGGAAATCTGCCTTCTGCGGGTAAGGAGTGAGCGTCCTGAGCCAGCCTCACCTGCCTTCTGCCCAAACTCCAGCCCCGGGCCCACCCTCTGTACCTGCCCTTCTTTAGCCTTTTCCACCTCGCTGGGATCCAGGTTGCTGTTCAGTAACTGGTCATGGAGGCCCTAAGGGTGAGGTGGGAGTAGTCAGAGGCCCGCGGCCACCACCCCACAGCCCTTCCCGGCCTGAGCCAGCACCCAGCCCCACCTGCAGAGAGACTCCGTGGATGACGTCCAGGGGGTCAATGACGTTGCCTAGAGACTTGCTCATCTTCCGGCCGTGGGCATCCCGCACGATGGCGTGGAGGTAGACCTGCGAGGCAGGGAAGGGAAGGCCTGTGGAGATGTCTCCCCACCTAGACCCCAATGCCTATCCCCCTACTCCTACCTCTGGCTTGCCCTCCTCTGAACCTCAGGCCCCTCGGTGTCCCTGCCAGCCCCTTCAGTGCCTTCGTGTGAATTAGAAGTGCTCCCTCCTCTAGGAAACTGGGGTGCAGAATCACCTAGTAGAGCCCAGGCTGGCTTTGAGACCCCACAAGCCTCCTTGGCCAGGCCCACCCACAGCTGCCTGGGTGAGGGAGGGGACAGTGGGAGGGGTCTCAGCAGTCTCCACACCTCTCTGAAGGGCAGCCTGCCAGTGAGCTTCAGGCCAAGCATGACCATCCTGGCCACCCAGAAGAAGAGGATATCATGGCCCGTCTCCAGCAGCGTCCCCGGGTAGAACACACTCAGATCTTCTGACTGGGGGCAGAGCAGGGCGTGAGTGATGGGGAGCCAAGCACCCACCCCCACGACTCCCACCCCACCCTGCGCTGGCCCCGGGAATGTACCTGGTTGGGCCAGCCCAGGATGGAGAAGGGGAAGAGGCCAGAGGAGAACCAGGTGTCCAGTACGTCTTCATCTGAGGGGGGCCAGAGGTCAGACGGGGTGGAGGTGAGGATCAGCCCCCCTGCCCCCACCCCAAGGCCCTGCCTTGCCTTGCTGGAGACTGATCTTGTCCGGGGACACTCCGAACTCCTCGGCTGCCTTCTCCAGAGCCTCGGCCTTGGTGCGCCCGCTCACCCAGTACCGCCCATCAGGGTCCTGCCACAGGTGGAGTGAGTATCCAAGGGGGCACCTCTGCCTGTCCCCCCACCAAGATCCAATGAAC